TTAAGACTTAAATGGAAGTCTAATATAATTTTGATAAGGAAACAAGTAAAACAAACTTTAGACTCAGGGCTTATGACTTTGGAATTATATTCTCATGGCAAGGAGGACAAAGTTCTGAAATAACTTCGAAGGCGGTGAGGGTAATTTTTCATACTTTAAACATATGAGCTTGGCTAGACAGTTTGGGAGACCTGGCCCAACAAGCAGGCTAAGATTCTTAAAAAAAAAAAAGCAATCCGGTGGTCTCACAAATCCCCATTATCAAAACTACCCTCCCATAAATCTGAACCCAATCCAAGAAGTACATCAATAGCTGGTTGTTTCAGATTAGGTTTATGATATAGTAACAGAACTGTGTAGGGGGCAAATATGCTTACAATAAGTCCAAGCATGTTTAAGTCAAGTCCCTAATAGTATTTAATGCTAATAAAAGCATGGAATATTCCTACGACTGTGTATCTAGCACACTGGATGCTGTATGTGTAAGCAGGTACAGTAGTTTCCCCCCTGCTGGCAGACCCTAGTCACTAAAAAAAAAAAAAACAAACCGATCACCTTCTTTGACTGAGACTGTATCACACATCCTCAGCAAGTATCTCTGGGGCTGCTGAGCAGTTAAGATACAACTCAAGGAGAAATTAGGAAGAGTAAGGAAATAAAAATTTTCATTATTCCAAAAGCTATCTATCTCATTTCCCAAAATATGCCTATGTGCTGACCTTCTTAAAGACCCCTACGAAATCCTGATCTTCCAAAATATAAACCCATTTGGAGCTGAAACAAGGTGAGGTCAACGATTGATATTATCAACCAACCATTTATCTGAGTCTGGTTCATTTCTAGCCTCGTGGGGGCCAAGCCTGACCACGAGGGTGAAGACAGGAGGCATGGAGGAAGGGAATGAAGGAGAGAAAAGGGGAAGGGGGGTGGCCTCCGGGCCATACTTCTTTCTAGTATCAACAAAAAGAGAAGCTGCATACTGACCTAAATCATCTCTCAAAGGCGCTTCATAAATTACAGGGACAAAGGGAGGGGGTGGCGGGTGGCCTGGGAATCCTACGGACACCCAACCCTCTGACCCGCCCCCTCCCCCTCCAGCACAAGGAAAGGAAGACAGAAAACAGAGCTCAACTCGGCCATTGGCGAGAAGCCCCCTCTGGTTTTCAATCACCCATCCACAGGCCCCCTAGGAAAAATTACACGTAAACACCAAACCTACCCTCCTCGGGCGGACACTCGCGCCCGAGGTTCCTAGAACCGGAGGCCGGGGCATTTACTTAGTTAGATTTTTCTTGCTTACTCATTTCCCTCGAGCACCCAACCCCCCGTTCCCACTCCAAAACCCCGCTCAACCGCCTACCCTCTCAGCTCCAGCCCCCAACAGAATCCCGTGCCCCCGCGGCGGCGGCGGCCCCCGCGCGGTCCCGGTCACTAACCTGCTGCTGTAAG